GCAAAATATAATTAGCACCTAAAAATATATATAATTATATATTTTTTAAATAAATTTATTAATTATTAAAGCTTAGAAATACTTTGGACAATCTTGAATGTCCAAGCATTTGGATGCTTGGACATAGTAACATGACAATACTGTCTGCAGTTGCATGTGTTCTAAGTGCACACTTTGCCTTTCTTGTAGTCCCAGGGTTGTGCCAAGAGTTACAAAAACTATAAACTTACCATAACAATACTGATTACAGGATTATGAATGCGCTTGTGGCTATGTTTCACATAAAGCTTTGGATAACAATATATATAAAAGTGTGGTCCCAACGAACATTAGTTAAAAAAACAGCTCATAGTCTCAACAGACCTGGACTACTTAATTTCTTGATTGAAAGTCTTAGCTTTAATCAAGTTTTTTTTTTTTTTTTTCTTGCATGTATAATATCTTGTGCATATACACCTTTTCTTCCAGATTATGTAACCTTGTGAGCTATAAGTTTATTTTTTTCTTTCTCTAAGGCATTGTACATATATATAACGTACACACCTTTTCTTCCGATTATGCCTTGCCTTGTGAACTCAGGTACCAAAAGTTTATACAGTATCTTGTACATATATACATGCACCTTCTCTTCCAAATTATGGTTTTTTTTTTCTTTTCATCAATTATGCTTTTTTTACCCTGTGAAAAGTTTTTTTTTATAAAAATTTTTTTTTTTAAAAAAAAACCTTTATACTGTATTTTGTATATACACATAATGTATGCACCTTTCCTTCAATTTATGCTTTGTCTCAACCAAAAAAATTTTTTCTTGGCTATCTTTTTTTCTTTTTTAAAACCTTTATACAGAGTCTTATACATACGCACTTTTCTTTTCAAATTATGCCTCCTGATTACGCAGTCAAAAAGACATGTAGCAGACTAAGCAATGCCCAGTGTAAAGAAATATGCAAATATGCTAAGGCAAGACTAGCAGCTAGGTATCAAGATATTGCGAATGAATTTATAAGAAAGTATCCTACACTAAATCTTGATAGATCAACTATCACTAAAATTTTAAAAATAAGTGAAGAATATTTTTATCTTGAAGAAAGCACCGTAATACAAAATCGGTGTAAAAATAAACCACCAAAGTATTCCTTGCTTGAGACAGCAATGATAATTTGGGTAAATCAAGCCTCCTCTGCTGGTATGGTTCTTTCAGATGAGTTGGTGAAATTAAAAGGTCATGAATTCAGTAATCGTCTTGGTATTCCTGAAAATGATCTTAAGTTCTCAAGAAGCGAAATTCTTTACGTCGATACAGATTTAATGGTGAGGCTGCGAGTGCGCCTTTAGAGACTTTAGCAGATGAGAGAATTAAGCTAAGACAACTTCTTTCCTAATATGAGCCCGAGAACATATATAATGCTGATGAAACCGGGTTATTTTATCAGATATTACCAAATCAGATGTTAGCGCAGCAAGCGGTTTCTGGCAAAAAACAGGTAGAAATTAATCTTACTTTTCTATTTAATAAAATTGGTAATTAATACACACATTGATGTATACTATTTAGGACAAATCACGACTTACCATATTATTAGCTACAAACGCAACTGGATCACACAAACTCAAGCTGCTGGTTATTGGTAAATCAAAAAAACCACGGTCTTTCAAAAGAATAAAGATATCACAACTTCTAGTTACGTATGAAAGTAATGAGCGTGCATGGATGAGGTCCGATATTTGGAAAAGATGGTTAAAATATTATGATCAAGGCTTCCATATTCAAAACAAAAAGGTTTTGCTCATTGTGGATAATGCTAGATCACATAGTGCACCGGAAATACTCGCTTTTTCCAATAATATTACTAATAATAGAGATCAAAGACCTGAAGACAATATATTAGGCTCTGAGGATGAAAATGGAGAAAATTTTATTTCTGAGAGTAGTGAAAATGATGAAATTTCTAATTCTGAAGGTAATGAGAATGATAATTCTAATGCTCAACTTCATAAAAGAGCTCGTGGAAGAACTCGCAGAAGTACTCGCGGAAGTATTCGTGAAAGAACTCGTGAAGAACTCGTGGAAGACCATGAACAAATTTAAATAAAAGAGCTAGTAAACAAAACAATACTCTTAGCAAATTCAAGCTCACAAATATTAAATTGCATTATCTTCCACCTAACATGATTGCGCATCTACAGCCGTTAGATGCTGGAATTATTAGGTCATTCAAATCTAAGTACAAAAACCTCTATAGCAAACATGTTCTTAATCAATTTGAGTCTAATATTAATTTGGAAAAGTTAGTAAATTCTTATATTTTATGACTCTTACCGTATTACTGTGAAATAACGTGCAGGGTAAAATTATAAATTTCAGCCTAAATTAAGCTTAATTCAGGCCAAACCTCGAAATAATGCCCATGGTTGTTATTTCACGATAATATGGTATTTGTTTAATTTATTTTATTAATTCAACCTTTTTTATTTACAGAAATAAACTAAGTATGAAGCAAGCAATCAATTTTATTGCAGAGTTATAGTGCGATGTAACCGATGTAACTATTCAGAATTGCTAGAGTAAGACGGGAATTCTTTCGGATGTAAGTGAGATAGAGATGGAAATTACAAATCAAGAATCTGAAAGTGATTTTCTAGATGATGAGGTTGCAGAAATTATTGTAGATTTGTCGTCAAGTGATAATTCTGAAGCTTCCGAAATAGCCCAGTCCATAGAAAGGTATATTCAAATAATTAATGAACCTGTTGCAACAGAAGGAATGCTCAATGATGAAGAAATAATTACTATGGTTCAAGCTGAAGAAAATGAACAAGAACAAGAAAGTGATGATGATGAAGAGCCTCCTCCTCCTCCTGTTACAGCCAAAGAGGTGTATAATGCAATATATACTGTTTTATGATATGAAGAGCAGACTAATTCAGAATCTAACCTCAAGTTTGCTAAACTGAAATTTTTGCGAAAGTTAAATAACAACTACAGGCATGTGTATGAGAAGTCCAAAAAACAAACGCCAATTACAAATTTTTTTACTCCTGAATATTGATAAGTCTTGTATTAAACAATTAAAGATTTATTAAATAAATATTAATACTGTGGCAAGAAAATTGAGTTTAACATTATTGGCCAGAATGCGATTACTACTTTAAATCTGTAATTATTGCAACATTTCGATTATTTGCATGATTAATGTCATAATTTGTCATATAATCGTAATTAATCTTTGAATTAATAATCAATTCGTGAAAATTGAGATATAAAAAATCAAGGATACAGAAATGGCCAAAATTATTCTTATTCACAGCCTGATATTGCTTTATATTAATGAGCATTAGTGCCGGCATGGTGCCGAAAAAACATAGTGCCTGCGTGCCAGGCATTATGTTTTTTTGGCATCATGCCTGGCACTTGCAGAACCCTAATGAGCGTGTACAAAAAGGAGAATAACAGTATCAGTATGATAAATTTAAAAAAATTATCCCGTTCTATATTATCAATTCTAATATACTGTACATGTGGACTATACAAACTCATGACTCGCAAATTTCATTCGATTGAATCACTTCAAATTTTGTTCGAGTCACGGCAATTAATTTATTGATTACCTTAATAACGAGTTATATGAAGCAAATATGATTCAATTTTGTATATTATAAAAGACATATAGGCAAAAATCTCCAATTTTGTGATGATTTAATGTAAGTGATTAGGTTAAACAAAATTTGAGCCAATCATGGCATAATTATTGCTTATGAATCATTATTTATAAATTTTTGCACGTATGTACCTAATTGTAACCTAATTACTTATAAATTTAATAATCAACTGGAGATTTTTGCCCATATAACTATTATGAAAGCACAATTTATGTGTTATAGTATAAAGCTATAAATGCAATTGTATTTTTATTAAAAATCTGCGATTACAATAAATTATATACTTATGTAGTTTATTTAAATTCTAAATAATGTAAAAAGTATTAGTTATTTTATACATTACTAATTAACTTGTACTTACAAATTAAAAAATTTATGATTCAAATTCGAATTATTTGAGTCACAAGTTGAACTACTATAAGTATCAGTATGGTTTTTAAATGTATATAATTATTTTATATAATCACCTTAAATAGTTAATTATATATTTGGTGATTTTATAGAGGTAATTGGATATAGTCACCTCTTTTTATAGTCACCAGGTTTTTGTGTCTCAAGTGTGTGACTATATCGAGGTGTGACTGTACTTATCTGCATATTTGGTAACTTTTTCCCAACTAGTATATGTTGTACTGCCATTACCGGATCTGTATCTCAAGCTATCTTTTCGGATACTGCTATAACCTGATCCATATTTCAAGCCACAACCTTTCTAATTAGTTCCCACTTACATACTCTTGCTCTTGCAAGGTTCACAACAACCCTAGTACCCATGTTCTAACTTTCTTCTTTCTTAGATTCCTTACTAGTCCCTTCCTTACTTCTAGCCGGCAACCCAGAAGGGTTGGTCTGCCCAGGCTCTAGGTGCTTTATAGTCTCTCTCTCCTTGGTATATGCTTCTAGAGTACAAGTTCTTTTCTTTCAGTAGCAAGCCGGCAGTTCAGCTAGTATGTTCCCCCACTTAAGAACCTGGTTGCTCAGTTCTCCGGTCTCGGTTTTCAGTTCCAAATTCAGTCTTTCTGTAATATATATCATCAAAGATCACTGCTACTTTTCAACTTAGGACTTGCCAAATAGAGTTTCAGTAATTCTGGTTTTCTGGATTTATTGCACCAAAGCTCCTTTTTGAGATAGTGTGACCAAGATTACAGATATCGGGATCCAACTGATAATTTTAATGTTAATCGATACAGATCTAGTTTTTTCAAAATCATTATCTGTAGAATTCAAACTCTAGACCTGCCATTTGGAGGTGCGACAACTCTACCACTTCACTAAGTTGCTACACCCTTTGGTGTTCAAATATTTCAGTATGCTCAGATTCATTGTCAGAAGGATATTCACCAGATAAAAAGTATACTTCAGATAATTTAAGATTTTTAAAAAAAGTTGGTTCAAAGTTAGCTTTTGAATGGATTTCTATAATTTGGTGAGTATTTTCAAGATAGGTAATTGGAATTGGTTAACAAGGTTGAGGTGAAATATTTAAAAATGTGGTATTTAAAGGTGTTTGGGAATAGGCTCTGATAATAGGGAAAGAAGAATAAGTTATAGTTGTGCAGTTAGTAGAAAAAGAGTTAATACGTTAGATAAATTGGTTAAATCTAGTAGGTTGTTGACTAGTAAAGAGTATTGGGCTAGGTTGGTAAGGAGGAATACCTAAAGAGATTGCTACAAGAGGAGAAGAAAAAAGATCAAATCGAGGGAGAAATTCTATTTGGGTAGTGTTTTTGTTATATGAAGGTAAACTAAATAAAGTGGTGTTATTGAAAATAGTATCTAAATTGTCAAGTTCTAATGTATATATTAAATATATAGATGAAACTATATCAAAAGTGATATTTGTACTAAGATCTTGTTTATAGAAAAAAGGAGAATAAGCTTTAATAGTAGTGGCTATTTGATGAAGTTGTAATATGGTTGATGAAAAGAGGGCTTTAATATAATAGTCAAAGATATTGCCTTCAAAATCAAAAAGTAAAGTAAGAACAAGAGTATAAGGAGTATTTTGTCAAAGAAGATTAGATATTGCTTCTTTCAAATCTAAATTGAGGTTGACATAGTGATAGCTAAAGACAATATCATGAGCAGCAGCTCTAGCTATATTATAATTTCATACAATATTTAGTTGAAAATAAGCATCAACTATCTTTTGAGTATATTTGGTAGCAAAATAAGTATCTCTATATTCAGTTCAAAAGTGACAATAAGAGCAATAAAAACTAAAAGCAGAGTAACAAATATTTCAAAATAAATCAGGGTTTTGTAATTATAAATCTTTGGTAGATAGAGTAGATGGGTGACTAGCTTCATGTATTTTAATTTATTTACAATAAATCTCATAAGCTTGATTCATATAGAGTTTTGTCTAAATTTGTATCTGAAATAATTAGTAACTAATTTAAAAATTTTTGAAATTACTTATTTTAACACTTTGGCTTGTAGGTAATTCATGCTTAACACTTAGTTAAGGTTTGCAGTAAGCTGCGAGTTTTTGATTGCTATGAAAACAGAGGCTTAAAGTAGCCTTTCTGTACAAATAGGGTGAAATCAATAGAAATATGACAAATTTATCTAATAAATTTGTCCCATTTCTATTGACTCCACCCCAAATCTCTTTTAATTTGACAGGACTTTCCAAGTTGCTACTAAAGCAGAGGCATCAAGTGTACCCTTTTGTGCAAATCTCTTTCAATTTGACAGGTTTTTCAAGTATACTATTACTCTCATAGTAATAAACATTTATAAATAAATTAACCTTTAAGAAACAAGAAAGAATATCAAGATATTTAATTTTAGTTTTTGCCAAGAGGCACCAAAATATTACAAGTAACTATAGCTTTCTTGTAAATATAGTACTTGCAACACAGCATACAGCAACAAAGATCTTAGAAACAACAAAGAGAGATATGAAGCAGTGTGAAAGTAGGATGTTACTTCACTCGGGCAGTTTAGTATAGTTTATTTATAGTTTATTCAAAGAGCAAAAGGTATATATTTATTAATAATATATATTACAGAAAGACTGAATTTGGAACTGAAAACCGAGACC